AGTCAAGAGCAAGTAGAGACTTAAAGGGGCAAAAGGGAAGTCGGAAAAAAGAAAAGCTGGTCTTTATCATGGTAATAGTAATGAAGCCAAGCTGAAAAAGCCCAGACGGGGCTGAGTTACTGTACTGTAAACTGCTTCCCGCCGCTGGGCTTCACTCGGCAGCATCCCCGAAAGGATTAGGGAACCACGGAGCCTCTCTGGTTACCAAGCCTTGGGGCTTCTGTCACTGGGGCATTGCTGGTTCTCACTCTGAGTACTGATGAAGCAGGAAAGACTAAAGAAGTAAACCGCTTACTGCTTGCAGGTGGGGAGCGTTTGGGTGGGGAAAACAACATTTCTCTTGCTGGAGAGCCTCACCACAGGGGGCTGAGTACCCTCACAGCCTGATGGCTTCTGTGCCAGCTGGGCGCTCAGCAGCCTGTAGGAGGTAGCACTCAGGTTTCCCTTTCTGGCCCTCTTTCTCCAAGTCTACGATCCAACTTTGTGCTTGGGAGCAGGCTGGAGACGAGCGTGAGTGCCGATCCAGAAGCAGTCTGTGGAAAATGATTTCTTAGCCCGGACCCTAGCAGCACAGGAGACCCCCTTCCTGTGAAGCTGCCGTGCAATTTCCCTGCCTCTGTGCATGCATATCCCCCCTGGGGCATTCAGTCCTTCACGGGTGCAATCAAGCTTCTAATCAATTAGGCAAATTGAGTGCAGGGGTGAGCTATTTCCTACTCCTGGTAACAAAACTGGGTTAACTCCATATTTCCCAGGAGCTCTGGTCCTCCCCACCTTAGTGTTTCTTTCAGAGGCTTGAAGGATTAAATTATGAAAAAGCAGAGTAAATGTGGACATGCTCTGTTACTGCAGAAAACAAAATAATTTAGCTAAATGTGGAAGGATTTTGGTGACCCTTTAAAAAAGTGTAATAATTTGGATTCAAAGGGACAAATATTCCAGTTAAGCAGACATGGGAGCACTTGCTCTTTAAATCCCAGTCAACCAAAGACAGAGTGCCCATGAGCAGACTCACAATTACTCACACTGATACTCATGCTGTATGTATTTAAATTTGTAGGTGCTACAAGCGGATATGACATGCCACTTGACAAATACAACTTCAAAAGTCCTGAGGACAGAAGTTCCAGATGAAAGTTAAGCTGCACTTTCCCTCTCTGTTGTTCTTCATAGCAGGGATTTATTTTTACCAGGCTCTGTAAGGAGCTCTGCATAAACATGTCACTGAAGTCCCAAAGACTACACGTAGGTGCAGGCATATTGGAGATGAGGGCTGCATGATATTACATCTGTTTTCCTTAAATATTATTTTACATATACCAGACTATTGGTTTCACAAATCGTTTCCAAAGATGTTGCCAGGATACGCTGTTCTGTCTGACTTCATTTGCTGCTTCGGGAGTTTTTTCACTACTACTTCTTGCCTGTATTTTATAAATTGAAAGTGGACCCTGCAATAAGAATGATTCCTGAAATCTTCTGAAGCCAGCTTCATAGCCTTAGCTTACAGTTGGTCCTCAAGTCACTCAAAAATTTTAGAGATCAGATAACTCTTATAGAAATAGAATAACTTTGTTGGTTTTTTTTTTTGCTAGATTAGCTTCCTGCGTGAGGTAAGAAAGCCACTGAATTTACAGAAAAACAAAATAAGGAACTCAATGAATTTACCATCATACGCGTATAAAAATTAAAGATTGCTGAGATTAAAATTTGGTACTCAAATTCGTTAGTGTCAATTTGTCTATTCATTGTCAATTACATGTAAATATGCATTCCATAGATGAGGGATATGGTCACACAATAAAATAATGAAAAGCAGAGAGTGTTAGTGACAAGTCATATAAAATACAAAAATTGTATTTTATAAAGAATATTACATCTCTCTACAGCTATTCCAGTATGGTAGAAAACTATGAATAAACTAAAAGTTTAATACTTTGAGCTTTTTTGTTTGTTTGTTGTTTTGTTTGGTTGGTTTGGGTTTTGGATTTATTTTTGTTTGGTTTGGTGCATTTTTTGGTTTTTTTTTTGTTATCACATTTCTGAGTTTAATGCAAGGCTTCATCAAATGAGTTAAGGGAAAAGGAATTTCAGGATGTCATTAGATGTCAAGTGTTATACAATATTATGCAGACAATGTTTACCTCCTCGTTGATTCAAATATGAAAATTTCTTTAAGTAAGCTCAGTTTATAATAATCATAGTTTATAATAATTACACTAATTTTTTTTTTAACCTACAGTACAGAACCTCTAAAAAGAGTAAGAAATATTCCCAACATGACAGGCACTTTTTTTATTTGCACCATATGTCATCATCATCATGGCTAGGCTTTGCGAACGAAGATTTGGGAAAGGCTCTATCCACATTTGTTACAAGCACACTGGTGGCTAATGAGGCCAATATGAGATAGACGTACAATTGCAAAAGGCACAGCAGAAAGACTCCTTAGGTGGTATATTTTGCACCATATGTATGATCTTGAATATTGGTATGGAGTAGGAGGATGGGTGTCTAAAGTAAAATTAACTGTGCAGTGAAAGCTTGTAGCAGGCAAATGAGTGGTGTGTACCAGAGGCAGGGATCTTACACATGGAAACCTTTGAAACCACTCTGCAGTTTGGTATAACTGGCATAAAGTCGAGTTCGGGATTGAGGTAGCAGAAATCTGGTAATCTCAAGTGCTAGTTTGTGGGCAGACATGGACTGTAGGCTGAATGTCATCTAGCACTTGTAACTTCTTGTTCTCATGAGAGCTAAAACTAACCAAAATTTTTATTTTAAAGTTTTTTTGAAAAATTGTGCCTCTGGTAGATAAATAGTAAGTCTACCCAGAAGACTGGAGGAGCAGGAGTTCACGTCTTCTATTTTCAACGTCTCCGTGTTCTGCAGGGAGGTTTTATTTAAATAAAATGAATTCAAAGAAATTAGCTGCAATAGTTCTTGGATGTACATTTCATGTTTTTGTAACCCTACAGCTTATAAGTGTTTATTAACCATAAAAAGGAAAGACTGACTTTTTTTCCTAGATCTTCTGGGCTTTAAAAATGGAGTTTAATATCTACGTATATCTAATATCTACAAATAAGCCTTTCAAGCAAATGACATCAGGATCTTTATAGAACACCAGTTTGCAGGTATAACTCCAGAAGTATAGTAAGACCAGGAGTAAGCTTTTAGTTTATAGTACATCATAAAAGGGAATTCTGAATATTTACTATTAATAAGATATATGAAAGCCAAAGTGAAAATCTGAGAGTAAAGACCCGTTTTGTTTGAAATTAATTTCTGATTCCTTTGATATATGAATGACAGACATTTGGCTAAAATAAGAGCCATTATTGCAAGAAATAGAATAAAATTAAGTAAGAAAGAAATATTTCCCTCATTTAGCTAATATTTTACTGAAAAGTCTCAAAACCAGCAAAACCCATGAATGGATTATAATAGTCTCGGACTGTGGGACATTCTCTCTGAATTAAGGGATGTACAGTTCTTCTTAAGAAACAAAACTTTTTAATACTGTTCTTTCACAGGCTTCTTTTGCATGATCCCTCTAATTACTTCCTTGTACAGCATATTTAACAAGCAGTGTAACTGTTACTCTGGTAGAGGAAACACATAAAATAATAGTTAATTTTGACAGCATTTTTCTTACCTGTTTTTAAGTACCTACTTTAAACATCTAACCCTCTCCCTATCTCAGCTATCCTCTGTCACTCGTGAAGAAGCAGAGTTTCACCAAATTTGAGTTAGCCATGAACCTCACTCTCCATGCTAACTGGCAGAAATATACTTTCTTATTCTTTCAAAAATTCAGTCTAAAACTGTTGTCAAGGCTCAAAGGTGATAAATAGTTCTAGTTCCTAACAGAAATTATCAAAAGCTTGAAAGATGCATTAGTTTCTGAGCATTGTCATATTTGATGGCTTTTAGCTGTATTCAGTATTCTGCTGTGAGGGTACAGAATGGTTTTTTGTTACTCAAAATAATTTTATGTTTCTTTTGTTCCAAGGTGGATTATTTATTTCCAAGAGAACATCATAAATCACCAGGTGTCACTGAGAAAGTGATGGAGAATACACAATTCCAGTTTTGGACAGAAAGAAGCAGCAGGGACAACACTGCAAGAGATCTTTCAAAACATGCAAAGTTTTCTATGAATTGAGAAATGAAGACAATGGGGTCACAGAAATATGAGTATATTTTCTCTGCATAATGGTTGGAATCAGCATATTTTCTAGATCACAGTCACTCTTGCAGGAAGCTCTATTTAAGTTTATTTCTACAAGAGTAATAGTAGTTCCTGTGAGTAAAATGCCTATGTTCTTTCATTCTCTGACTGAAAGCAGAAACCTGATTTATAATAAACAGTAAGGTCTCCAAAGCCTTTTTCTTTTTGTAACTGTGATTCAGAACAATGCAGTTCTGAAAGTAATCACACATTCAAATACAAGTAGGTGTGAGCTTTCAAATATACTGAAAGTGAATATTCAGAACATCACATCCTGGTGTTTGCTTCTGATGTTAAAAACCTGCTGTGCCAACCAGGATGCATGTTTTCAAAAGTCTATAACTGTGTTATTTTGAAGCCAGATTTCTTCAAACAGAGCAAGGCACATATTTACCTTCCAGGGATTTGTGCCATTTGTGCCAGCTTTGGCACCTTTAAAAGAAACTGATTTTGAGTTTCCTTGAATGCAAAAGTACATGCAAATAAAATTTTCACAGCTCATTTTTAGATAAATTTAGGTGTTCTGAGTAACATTTTACTAATAGTTTCTTTTCAGTTGAGGAAGGAAAGGTTTGATATAGTCCTAACAGAGAAGAGATGTTCCAAATAAATGAAGAGACAGAAATTAATTTATTACTATAGAAGATATATATCTAACCTAATTATTTTGCAAATATAGCACTATGCCATAAACATTTAAATTAGGTCTATGAAATTAATTGTTTATAGTAAGCCTTTTCAGAGGAGTTTTTCTCGTATCTTGCAGTCCAGGGCATCAGAAGTTCAGTGCCAGAGCAGTAGCCCCACAAGAAATAAATCCTGTGCTTCTGACTCTTCAAGACATGACTCTGAAGCATCTAGTGCTGGTACGTTGCTCCTTATTCTACATCATGTTTGGTTCCATAAGCCTGTTGTACCAACTTGGGAGGCTTTGTCTAATTTGAGGGCAGATCTGGGTTTCATTTTGCACTCAATTCTGAATGCAGCAACACAGAGAGACTTCAACTCTACTGCTCTAATAGGCATGCATATGTTGCTATTAAAACTTTTCACCTAAAATATAGTGTTAGGAACTTTAAAAGTACAGTTTTTAGGGATATGAAAGAGTAGATCTAATGAAAAATGAGAATGCATGAATTTTAAAACACATTCTCCTTCCTGAACAAAGAAAAGTAAAATTTGGTAACACCTAAAGAGGAAATCTCAAGATTTCTGGCAATAGAAAAGCTGCATTTTGACTTGAAAACTAAAAAAAGTTCCTCGACTAAAACACCAATGTTCTTGGCTCAGCTGTCATTATTTGCATTCCTTGTAATGATACCAAGTGTTCTGGGTCAGCTTAGTGTTAACCTGTATTCTTCTGACACAGGGGTGCTGTAACTCACATGGAAAGAAAAGCATGGACTACCTCTGTCAGGCTCCCACATCAACCCAGCCTCCTGAGCTACACTCACTCATGAATTCTCCACTTACCAGAGGAGAGATCTCCTTGCATCATATGTAAATACAGTATGTGCGGTCCAGCCAAGGGAGCCCCATTAGAAGTAAGCCACCATCCTTCTGTGGAATCTGGCTCAAAGGTGACCAGGTGTTGTACTTGGCTCCAAATATTTAGACTCTTTTAACAAACAGTACTATTTGGACTCAGATTTGACTTAAAACCATACAATTTTTTGTATCGATTTTTCCAGTTGAAATTATACATGTTCTATGAAAATACTTGCTTCTGTAAACACTGCATTTTTCTCCCGCCTTAAGTAGCAAAATACTAAAGTATTTTTAAAGAAGCTGATATAACTACAGTGATGATCATCATCATGGCTCGGCTTCGCGAACGAAGATTTGGGAAGGGCTCTACCCAAATTTATTACAAGCGCACTGATGGCTAAATAGGCCAATACGAGATAGACACGTCTGGTTGCAAAAGGCACAGCAGAAGGACTCCTTAGGTGGCATATTCTGCAGGGCACGATTCTTTCTGTGTTGTCTTTTCTCCTCAAGAGTGATCCTGTGTGCTTTCTTAAAGGCATCAGCAGCGTTATAGATGGTGTGTCTCCAGACCTCCCGATTGGAGGCCGGATGTTGATCAATATGGCCGAGGCTGAGATGTTGTTTCAGAGAGTCCTTGTATCTTCTCTTCGGGGCTTCTCTCATGCGGCAGCCAGTGGCAAGTTCACCTTAAAGCAAGATCTTAGGAAGGCGGTGGTCCTTCATCCTTGAGACATGCCCTGCCCAACGCAGCTGTGTTCTCAGCAACAGGGCCTCAATACTTGTGACTGCTGCTTGTTCTAGAACAGGTGTGTTAGTCACATAATCTGACCAGTGGATGTTTAGGATTGTACGGAGGCAGCGTTGATGGAAGCGTTCTAGGAGACGCAGGTGGTGGCGGTAGATGACCCATGATTCAGATCCATATAAGAGAGTAGACAGCACTATGGCTCTGTAAACACTGATCTTTGTACTTTTCTTCAAGTGTTTATTTCGCCAAACTCTTTTATGAAGCTTTCCAAAAGCACTATATGCCTTTGCTAACCCGTTGTCTATCTCTCTGTCAATCTTACTGTCCAAGGAGATGAGGCTACCTAGGTAATTAAACTGCTGGACTGATTTGAGCTCTGTTTCACCAATGGTGATGTGGGGATGATGGAGGACTTCCTGAGGTGCCGGTTGATAGAGAACTTCTGTCTTCTTTAAGCTGACTTCCAGCCAAAAGAGCTCGAGTGATGATATATCTATTGTTAAGAACTGATTCTATTAATTTACATGGCTTCATTTTTCTATGTAATGGTGAACACTTGTTTGGGTTTTTTTAACTCTAAGTAGCTAAATAAAGACTTACTCCTTAGACTAATGCAGATAAAGAAGAAGTCTCTTAAACTGAAAAGGAATTACTAAAATGTAGAAGCAAGAAATTACCTTTGTATAATTTCTCAAAAAGCTACATAGGTACAGATTATCTATAAATACTTGGAAGTTTTGGTATTAACAACCATTCTGGTGCTGCATGAAGATAAGAATTTTTGCCACTGTTTTTCTTCCTCTTCTGTAACAAATCTGTGAAGTAATTTTTCAGAATGGTTGGTATTACTGCAACTCAAAGCTTGAAAATACTATAATGAAACTTGAATATCTCCATTTGCGCTAATACACTTACAGTAGTGAAAACCACAACCAGCAATTTTTGCTTTATTTTGTACTACAATTAAGTTGGATGGAAATGTTTTCCAATGTAAGACCTTCCATGTACCAGTATGTACAAGTAACAAAACTGAATATGAATCAATAAATTGAGCTTCCCAGGAAACAGTATAATAATTGTATTCAGAAGTTTGTTTGTATTCTTGGTTTTTGAAGAAAATGGTTTTCAGTTTCATTTTATGGAAGTCTTCATATCTCACATATGGCTCGGCTATCTTACACTCTCAGTAATTGCTCACAGAACTAAAGACACCGCAGATTAATGTAGCAGAGACAAGACCCTCAGCTGTATGAGAGAAGACAATTCTTGCAATGGAAGAGGTGCAAACACTTTAAAGAATCACAGATGGTCAGTGAAGAAGAAAAAACCTCTCATAGATGGATCACTGACTATTTTAAACTAGAAATATTCACTGAAAGCTTGGAGTTTCAACAAAATGAGAAACTTAATCATTCACGGTGGAGAAAGAAATATGTAAACATCAGAAAGTTGTGCAAGATAAAACACCCAAATTTTATATATTGGTTTATATATTGGTTCCCTCGCTCTCTAGAACATGAAAGGGACAGGCAAAATATTTTTCCTGTCACAACTGAAAATTGCAAGACAAATTTATCCAGACATGTAAACTGCTTTCCTGAGCCGTGAGAACTGACTGGCCAACTCTCTGTTTGTTTAGACATGGATGAAGTCAAAGTGCCAACTTACCCACAACTGGTGGAAGAAATACCCTACAGAAGTTATTCCAAGACCGTGTATTAGTGTCCACTGCTAAGTAAGCAAGCCTTTGGAGGGTATTTATCACACTGCCACCACGCAGAAGAGATTGGTTTTAAGGCTTGAACACCCTATTTGCTAGCAGGGACAGGGATGAATATGTAACTTCATTGTGGAGAAAGGAATCTAGAGAACAAATTTGTTTCTTACTTCCAGAACTGGCTGCTGGTTTTGTATATCTTGCACAGAACACAACATGCCTTAAAACAGAGCAACTGAAATGGTAAATGTGTGAAAAGTAAAGCAAGCGATGAGACTTCACAAAAAGAAAAAAAGGGAACTGGTCAGCCTGCTTTGCAAGAACATGGCTATTCCAATAAGCAATTCATGTTCACAAGAGGAATCTTCCTGAATTTGATACTGTTCTTTTTTTTTCCAGACTCAATCAATAAATTGATGTTTAATCCATTTTTATAGCTGAAAATTCAGAGTTTAACCCCATTCACACCAAGATAGCTTCATTTCCAGCTACGAATTTCAGAGTTCCAAGTATAGCAGATAAAGAACTGAAAAAAAATTCATCCATGACCAGTGAAGAAAGTTTTCCAAGAAAGTTTTACTAACCTCTTAAAATAAACTAAAAAAAGAAACCAAAAGTTTTAGCAAAATAAGGTGTCCTGTTTCTTTGCCTTATTCTCCAGGCAATAAGCCAGGGGATAAAAGTGCTATTTACAACAGACATGCAAACTTACAAAAGAAATTAGTAAAGACACATTTTGTTGAAGGCACCTAAAATCCAGAACAAAGGTTGTAAGATTTTTAAATGGTATATTTCTGCACTTAACTGCTAATAAAAGTGGCTACTAATTGTTAGGCCCAAGAATTATATGAGAAGGACCATTAACATGTTGTTCTGTTTTTGAAGTATCTGTCTGCATTAACATAGGGCATTGTAGTGCAGATTACATTGAAATGCTGACTACTCTGCTGTAATATTGCTAGGAGGAAAACATTCAGTCCTGACTGATATTAGTTAACTTAGAAAAGGTAAGTATTGCTGTGTTTCTGATATTTTAGATGGTCTACTTGATAACTGAAGATGTATATTAATTTCCCATGACAATTTGGCATTCTTCTTTCCATAAATAAATGGTTTACACTAGGAGTTGTTAACCTAAAACAAAGCAGTTACGTATACAAACAATACAAAAGCTGTGACATTAATGCCAACTTCTTCCTGCTAAGTCTTTCAGGATATGTAACAAATTTAAGTTTTAGATTTTGAGAAAAATCAAGTCACTGTAGGTCAGATTAGCTTTCTTTGCAGCAGTCAGCCCTGTCTAAGAGAAGGCAGTACTTCCGAGCTGTTAAAAAATACATTTAGATCAATGTGTCAAGATCAATGAAGTCAGCATCTTCTATAGCCTTAGATTTTCTGCTTTATACTTTCATAACTAATACTTTTTAAACAAAGTGCCAAATGAAGAGAGAAATTGGGAAAAAAGATAGTCACAATCAGAGCAAAAGAGGTATGTTTGTTTGCATATGCTAATGGGTTTCCTCTGTGTGTTTTAGTTTTCCCCTTCGTGGGTGCAGACTCAAAGTGGATAGGAACAACGAACAACTAACCCAACAGCTATGCTTCTTCTACTATCTCCCCTTCCCTTTTGTTCTCTCCTCCAAACAAAGAAGTTTCTCCTACTGGGCTTCTCCTCAGCTTACCAGATCTGGCTCCTTTCTGCTCCCATTCCCCCCACTGCCCCGTGGCCCCTTCCCCCACTGCCTTGCCTGTCTCCTGCCTGTTCCCACTGGTTTTCCATTCTCCCTCCCGTCAGTCCTGGCTCTTTGTTCCCACAGGGCTCTGCAAATGTGCAGCAGGAGTTCAGCTCTCTCTTTTTAATTTTTTTCCGCTTTTTCTCAGAGAGAAAACATGGAACATTTGAAGTCCCGTTGACAGCAGACAAGAAGATAGAGAAAAGAAGGAACCTGTGAAGGAAAGTGAAGAGAAATTAAACTAAATAGTCCAGTTGGGGTGAAGTTGCCTCATGAGGTTTTCAGAGAGCTTTTACACATAGAAATAATGAGTATATTTTCAAATCCATATAAGGATGTTTAGCAAGGAACTAGCTTTCTGCAGTAGAGTGCTGAAAGGCCTCAGGTGCATAGTACTAACCTGCTACTGTGATGATGGTCCAGGCAACAGAGTTACAGTCTCTTTAAAGAGGAAGAGAAAGCATAGCTATCATTTCCCCAGCTTTGGAAAGGCATATGATGAATTTTCCATTAAAACCACAAAAAACAATTTTCACCACCACCGTATTGTGATTGGGAAAATAACTGCCCAAACAAGTTTAGCAATCAAGAAAAAATGTTTACAAAGTGGTGTGTCTCTCTTACCTATTTAAAAATTAACACTATCCCAGCTGAATCCAGGACATAAAGAAAGGAAAGACTGGAAATGAAGAACCTTTCTAATTAGGTTCTTCAAATAGTTTTTAAAGTCCTGCCTGTTTCTAGACTCTGCTTGAGATAATCATAATGTGTTACTTAAAACTGAATTAGTGGAACAAGCAGCAGTCAGACCAGTCCAGCTTGGATTACATGGCAGTGCTGAGGAAGATGAAAGTGCCTACAAATCTGTTATCCCTAATATCAAAGATCAAAAGAGTCAAGTGTTACTCTGTAGCACAGCACATATATTACTTTATAAGGGAATTCTCATGCCTCTTGATGGACCTATGAAAACTGGCAGACACTAATAGGCAGTAAAATAATTTCTCTAGAAGTTCACTTCTGCTGTTCGTTTGCATACCTCTCTGGGACAGAGGTGAAATTTGCTAGTATTTCCCCCTGAATCCTCCTCCCACATATTGAAAACA